TATTATATACGCTTTTGTGCAAAAAATAGCGTCAATTGGTGAGTATGATTTTCTAGAGCTTAATTCAGTGTTACTAAGAATGTTTTGAGGCAAAAAGTTTTCACTAATTTGCTTAAGTTTCATTTTTCAAACAAATCTTTCAGTGCTCTTATAAATTCGATTGGTCTGTAATTTTCAGTTTCTTCATATTTTTAGTATACTCGCGTGATAATTCCTTTTTAGCCTTTTCGAAATTTTTTTTTTTAAATAATCATTGAACAGAAAAGAAAGACGCGAGTAGATTTCGATGCAACCATCCTTAAGAGCCCATGATGGAGTGACAGATAGGTTTTGTGGTTTTTTTTCGCATTAAGTTCGAGAAATTCTTTTTTACACTCTTTAGTAGAAATCAATCTGAACCATGATGGACTTTTGTGATTAAGATTGTTTTGATGTGAGTCTACAGTAAGACAGCTTGTGGTTTCTTTTCAAAAAAAATCTAGTTGAACAACCTATTGGAACGACCAAGTTAAGAAGATTTGCCATTTTGAAGCTTATTGTTATGAATTATCCGAAGGTTTTGTTAGAATAAAAATGCTGTTAGATGATTCTGTGAAGTTTCTTGTATTGTTATCATTGTTCCATTTCTCACGTTCAGTTTTCTTGATTTGATTAACTGCGATATGAAGAGATTATCTTGTAAGTTTACTTATGGTTTATTAATACCTATGAAAAACCATTTTCGTGGAGCACATTATTAATTTTGACAACTTTTTTTTCGACTGACAGGGTTGAACATTTCTCCTGGGTAACTTTTCTGATAGCAGCTTTCCCATTTTTGATAGATGTGATTTGTTTTGTTGCAGGTCTAAAAACGATTGATTTTTTGTTTGAAGTTTCAAAGTAAGATCGGTGATTTAAAAGTTATTAAGAATTTCTAATTGTGAATCGGAAGTTCTAATTGTAACATCGAGGTTATAGATGACAAAGTTGTTTCAAGTCATTTTTTATCGTCGATGCTGAGATAATTAAGGTTCGATTGTCTAAAACTATCATATTAGTATTAAATTATAAGGTATAGTTTTTCGAGGATTTCAGTTTGATTTCTTTTTGGTTTGTAGGATATATTTTAAGAAAATTTTCTGTCATTTATCCTGTTTTTGTCATTTACAAGACAGCTACTCTGTAAATGGCCAAAGAAACAGCAGAAGTCTTGCATCGCATTGGGATCATGATAGTCGGGGTACTACAAGGAGGATTGTGCGCCCTCCAACAGTGGAGCAACGGCACATTTACAGTACATGCTCTCGAGCTGAGGAATGACGGCGTTCAGAGAAGTGAAACCATCGGTTCGTCTGAAGATTGCGAAAATGAGTATCTTTTGGACTGACAGGCTAGTATACCTTCGTTTAGTATACAAAACTAAGATTAATTACTTTTCGGTTTTTGATGGATACTTATAAGGCTTTTAGGTTGATATCTAGCCGATCTAGTATATTTTGAACATGATCTGTTGTTTCAGTTTATTAAATCGAATTTGTTTGTTTCTAACTCCGAATTCAAATTTTCTGACAAAAAATGGTGTTGGTAACAAATTGGTCAGACTAGCCCGTACTTAGGGATAGGCAGAGATTATGCCATAACACACACATTTATTCTTCCTACTCAACTTTGTAAAACCAATCGTTATTCCACAAAAACGAAGTAAGGGAAAGAAAAACAGCCACGATAAGAAAGTAATTGTGAAAGCGAACAATTGAAGAAGAAGTAAACAAGACTGCTCGTATATCAGGGCAAAGCACTGAGTGTTCCAACTGCCCTTTAATCAATATCAATTAGTTTTTGCTTTAAGAAAATCTTTAAAAACTATCAATTTTGGACAATGCCAAAGATCAAAATCGTTTTACTGGATAACTCGTCACGCATGATTAGTTGGTGTGTTACGCTTTCAGGTATATATACCTCAAAGCGTAACACATCAACTAATCATGCGTGACACATCAACTAATCATGCGAACAAAATCTTCAAGCGCGCATAATTTAGTCCAGAGCATGGCCAAATTGGCAATTTTCAAACTCCTAGAACTTTGCAAAAATTGATGAGTGATAAAAATTTCTTTTTAAAACTGATTTCAAGGAGTCGATGTCTGCAATGGGGTAAAAAAAAATTTGTCAAAAACTAATATTTCGATCGCCAAAAATCGACTGAATAAAAAAACCACCCCAAGCATAAGTATTCCCTTTTCTTCAAAAGTTGGAAAAACAAAACTGACTGTATCAGGGCATAGCCTGAATGTTCCGGCTGTTTTTTAATTTGTCTGGAATAGTTTTGCTAAACCAAATATTGGCTAAACTACGCTTTTTAGACTGATAATATCGAGTTTTAGGTCAAATTAATCTAATTAAAATCGTGTAACAAATTTGGTCATGTTTGGAGATGGTAAAACCAATTAGCTGTCTCGCTTCAATTTGGAGCGACTTTGTAGTGCGGAATAGTTCGCCGCGTAGGACTCATAAACGAGCAGTTTAGACAGACTACTCGCAGAAGACCATAGTGGTGTGCATACCAAGCTGGGACTTTGCAGGTCAAGAAATCGATTCCTCAAGCGACCAGAGTTTTGTATAATTGATCTGAAAAAACCAAACTACTTATTTATTCCTCACTTTCTTCAAAACTTACTCTATGCATTAATTTTTATTCGCTCGAGAGGTTAACAAAAAGCATTGCTGCCTATCGAGTGATGTCTCTGAATTCATTCTTCATTTCCCGTCTGTAAATAGTATTAAAAAATCAAAAAACCCTTCAAGCCAAAAAAAAAATCACCAAGATTTAAATTAATAGGTCTCCTTCGCCCTCAAAACACAGACACGCAGCAAAAATTTTTTTTCACTCGTTGAAAGACGCAAAATGGCCATTAAACCGGTATAATATAGGCCGAAATCTATCAAGTTGAAGGAAAAGGAAAAGAAAAAGACAAAAAGCCTTGAACTAGAAATTCCATTAAGGCTTTTAAGACATGTGCGATCCAGAGGTGAGCACTAAAAATTTGGTTTCTTTGAAACGAATCAAAATAAGGTCATTAAGCCGATAAAAATAAGCCGAAATCATTCGAGCAGAATAAAGTTTTTAGGCAGAAAAACAATATGAAAAGTCAAGGTTAGTAAAAATACAATTATCAGGAGTAAATCAGAACATCAAAAGCAACTATGATGTAAAAAAAACTACACAAACATCAATTCTACAATATGACAACTAAGCCAACATATCATAAAGAGACAAGTAATGAGCCGACAATTTTTTGATGAAACGGAATACTTCGCGTTTGGAAAAAAAACAGGTCATGTCAGATTGGAACCCAAGATTCTTGGCGTCCCAGGCGTATTTGTAAGCTCCAGACCAAGAGTGCACAGTCAAAGTGAATTTTGAATTAATTAAGAACTGGTCCTAAGCTTAACATTTCTAAATTTTACTATTCTGTTACTAAAGTTTTTTACGGGGAAAAAGTCTAGTACCCGATTATAATACCCTTGCTTACCACAAGGTTAAATACAAGCCAAACTTTAATCCCAATTTAATCATTTGAAACGTTCAAAAAATTTAAAACAGTCGGGCTCTTGCATAAAAAACTTTTGTAATCATTTATATTCCATTTTAATCCATTGTAATTAATTATAATCAGGGGCGGATTAATTATAATCAGGCGCGGATTTTTCTTCTAAATCCCCCTCAGGGGACCCCCCTTAGAACTATTTTGAGATATACCTTTTCGGCTGACGGACCGTAAAATTTTTTTAAAGGCGCCTTTGCGTCAATAAATACTAAATTTTAGGGGGGGGGGGAGCGCGCCTGCCGAAAAAACGCATTTTTTTTGGTCAAAATTTTCCAAAAAGTGCCTAAAACGCCTTTTTTGGCCTGTTTTTTTTTCAAACTTTGATTGCGGCACAGAAATTTTTGGCCAAAACAGGGTTTTTGTAGTGTTTTTTGTGAGAGCTCGGAAAATCAGTTTGCTCGACCTAAAAAAAAGGTCGACAAAATTTCGAACATTTTTTGAAAATCCATCCCCCACCCCTCGAGAAAATCCTAGATCTGCACCTGATTATAATGGAATAAATTGATTATACCTTGTGTGATTTATTATCATATTCTAATTGATTACATCGGAGTTTTATGGAACCACAGACAGATCATGAAAACTCCGATTAATCGATTATCCACAGGAACCTTGCGGGCATCATTCAAGGGCATTATTGTGATTTATGTAAATATGCATAAATTGTTTACTTGTTTAGATACCTTCACAAATTTAGCCTTCAACTTTTTTTCTGAATGAGTGAATCAATTGTCCAATTCTAAAAGAAGATTTACTTCGCTTTCAAAAGTAGTAAGGCTGTACTGAATAGCCTTTTTGCTATATAATTTACCCGTCTCTTTATGACTTTTAAAATCCCTTTTCATGTAAAAATGGGACGTGAAAAGACCTGTCTTAAACGTTCTTTCTGTTTTTGACTGCGAAGTTAGCGCATTTTACTTCCTGCTATAAAATATTACCGTAAAAGTTGTATAAAGTGCGCGATTTTCATTCTCAAATTGTGGGCGTTTATTTATTAACAAGTGGAAATCGCTTAAATTGGGTTTATATCGTATTTTAACGGCATTCGAAATAAGGTGACTGTGCGTCTAACCGAATGTTTTAACTAAGCCTAGTAAAACTATAAAAAAAATTCAAAATGTAAATCTGGCTCAAAAAACCAGGCCCAAATGGGGAAATTGCAGCCCGAACACTGGGTGGTCATAGATCATCAAATGGCGAAAGATACCTATTTCAATTAAAACACTTCCGCACGTCTGAATGCAAATTACACATTTGCTGGAAAACAACAAAAATTCGGCCTAACCCAAAGTATGCAAGGTTCTGAAATATATCCAACTGAATCGGGCCGAAATTTCTATATCTGTGTCGGTATATATACCACCTATGGCTCGCTGTGTATATCATTACGTGGGTTGAGATTCAAGGTATCATTTGACAAAAAGTAAGACTAGTGTTGAGCTTGCAGTAGTATATTGCAATTATAATAGAACTTTTATTGACATACATTTTCGGTTGGGTACAATTTTAACAACAAATTGGTTGATAGTGTTACATATATTGAAATTATAACCAAACCACCGAGAAATTCAGTCATTTTATCGCTTAAATAAATTGGCAACGGCTGATTCTTTTAATCTTTATCTTCATTTTGTTGGCGTCATTACCATCAGAAAAACATCTCAGAATATATAACTCATCGTCGTCATACAAATCTACTTCTGCACTTTTTGCAAAACGAAATTGAAAATTGTCTGTTTAATTATAATTTCCTGTATTAAAATTCACAAATTAATGAAAAACGGTTGCAGCAAAATCTACTAGAATACGTACTTCAGCAAAATTTAGATACAACTGAAAATTTATTACAGTTTTTCTTCTAAATCTGCAGTCCTAGTTAATTTACAACCGCAATATTATTGAAAAATGATGGTTTGCAATACGCGCACATTTTTTTTATAAAAAAATAGACACGCTTAGACGTAATAAAAAACAGATCATAAATGCTAACAAAAGCGGTTGCAGCCTTATTGTTGTAATTACGTTTGAAAATTGAGTTTCATTTCTTGTTTGGCTATACAGATTCATTTTCATGACCTACCGATCATCTGTCCTGAACAAAACAATGAATAACAACGTATAAAAAATATATAGTAATTTCGTCTTTATAAAACGTTGCGTTTCCGTACACAAAAAATAAGCATACTGTTTTATCGTTTTCTTGGTGGGTTGTTTTACAAGTTCTTTTGTAGTTGATTGATTTTTTGTTGGTGCTCTATATGCTTTTAACCACGCTTTTACAGAGCTTTGAATCGTCTTTCAAGTTTATCTTTCTATTGATTGTTATTTTGCAAAGAATTGGTCACCTTACTTGCTAAAGACGATTTACAATTTACACGACAAATTGATGAACTAAAAATCGGCGGTAAAGCAGCGCATATATTAGCAGTAATTCTACGTAAAACAAATATTTATCTATATACCAAAGCCAAACAACGTCACAGTTTTCAGTTTCACTTGACCCGTTGTACGTCACGTAATTCTGACAAAATAACGGAAGAAACATCAGTAAAAACAGCTATAATATTGGTAAATTGACGCTAATCTTCATTAAAAACGCTTATCAAGTTTCTTTTATTGAAGATTCTCATTTTCATTTCATTTTACCCAAAATATTACTGAAATTTGCTTTATACCATTTTTCGAAGTAAAAATACTACTACGTTGAAAGTTACACTCAATTTCTTATTTATGAAACAAATCGCTTAATTTCTTTGAAAACTTTGTTCCCAATTTATTTGACTTGAACTAAACAGCGTTCTAAAAATTTGAAAAAGTCTGATTTATGAAATATTGCTTAATTTCTTTTTTGAAAAATCATAAGTTATTTGATTTGAAATCAAACGCACGCCTTCTAAACATTTGAACTCAATTGTTCGAAACATTTGAACTCAAACGTCCTAAACATTTGAACTCAATTGTTCTAAACATTTGAACTTTAAAAAGTCTCCAAAATGTCGGCGTCTGCAGCTGAAATTCTGGAACCACCTCTAGGTGAAATCACAAACCACAATTTAGCCACAGAATTGACATGGGATTATTATGAAAATATTCTTAAAGTGTGTGTCCCATTTACCCTTTTGTACTTGTTTATTGTCCCTGCTCTCAGCTTAAGGTTCGTTCACCTATGATAGATGGGCTCTATTTCGTGGAAAAGTCAAGGTCAAGATAGGTAAACTACTGCAGAAACAACGATTTAGCACAGATTTTTCCCATCACATATTTGCTAAGAAACAGTAACAAATTTGTTGGAAGATCGATTGGGGAACTTTCGGTACTATTTCATGACATCAATTGATAGCTGATCAGCCCTGATTTTTTTTTTAAATTTAAAGCTCGCCAAATATGCTTATTTTGAGGGGAGAGCGTGCGCCAAAATTTCCCAAAATGTTAGAAAATTTTTCAAAAAGTGCCTAAAAATACTATCAAGAAACGTCCTATTTGTGGATAAATCGTTTTAACTCTTTCTGCGACGCAAACAATTATCTCAAAATAGGATCCTATTAGTGTTTGATTTTCACAAAACATTTTGGTCGAACTAAAAAAACCAATTAGAACAAATTAGCCACTATGCTAGGCTCGGCACGTCTCCGTGTCTGAAAACAAAATCACGTGACCCCATCTATCATACTTGCCCGTTTTCAAGGTTATTCCCAGTTTTGAAATTACACTCGCAAGAAAGAAGATGTTCATTTGTGTCTGACTTTGTGTCTATGATTCCCTCTATACTATCCAGCTTCATCACTGTCCGGTCTTTTATTTATTTTGTTCCAGTCAATGACAGAGACCAAATGTTCGAAGGCTATAAATGGGTAACAATATACATGCAGGTCAGTGCAGGATTGCTATGTTCACACTTTTTAAAACACTGCTTTGCTTGAACATGTAGTAATTGTTTTTTTTTAATGAATTAATTGTCTTTAAAAGCGTGTTGTACTCGTTTTTGAAACCAAAACAAGGCTGATCGTATCAGGGCGAAGCCATAGTTATTATAATTGTGCTTTCACGTGTCTCAAGCTGATTTTTGTTCAGAACATGGAAAATGGGGAGGAACTTAGTATTCGGGTGTGTTTAATTTTTTTCTTTGAGTGATATATCACATTAATGCCCTTTCAGTCGTGATTCGAACTTTAAAAATTTTCCAAAAATTGTCCAGTGCCGAGAAAAACGGTTTGAAACTTTTGAGGCTAAGTATAATTTGGAGCCTGTACAGCGACCGAATAATGTGCGTTATGTAAAAATTGGTTACTTAGGATAGGGAAACTTAATTTTACTAACAGAAAAACTAGTTGAAAGAATTTCGTTTATTGTGCAAAAAAGTTAGAACAAATTTCAGATTTAAAAAAAAAAAATTCCTCGTTTTGCTTGTTAATCAATTTTTGCAGACAAATGTTGAAGATTACGTTAAGTTCACATCACACAAAAAAACGACGATACCTTAAAACGAAAAAAATATATATGATAATTTTTTTAATGATTGTGGTCGGAACATTCTGTGCTACTTGCTCATTTTCAAATGCTCAGCATGCAAGGAAAATTGGTAACTTTGGCGTAATAATAATTATTGCGAATTGGCAATTTTAAAGTGCGATTGAAGTGTCCCCAAATTTTAATTGGATAGTTAAAAACCGAATTAAAAGCAAGTCTAACATTTCGATTAATTCTGTTAGAGATTAGGAGAACGCCCTGACTGAAGTATGCTTCAATTATTGTTCAAGTTTGTTTTCTCCTGCCCTTTTTTCACTTCAGCCGCTCCTAGGTACACTTCTCCTAATTACTTGTTTTTCTCTCGAAAAAGCGATAGAGGTTTCATACGTAAGCGCCTGTATGTCAATTTTGAATAGATGCTTTTATTAAACTTAGTTGGCTAGAAAATAATCTTTTCTATTTGGATAGAAAAGAGTCCTCAATTCAATGAGATAAATTATGCAATGTTGTATGCTAGGCTGTTAGCTAAATTATCGGGACTTTCTCTCACATTTGATTTGTCGAGGGAGCTTTATCAGACTTGTCGCTTTAAACCCAATTAAGTTCTCAAAATAAAGACAAATAAAATATATATTTTTTGAGTTTCAGCTAAAAGGGCATCGCTATCCGTCAGATGACATAGAAAAAATTCCATCAAGTTACGTTCCACGCCACTCCACGCTCAGTTATTCAGTCACTTCCTTCGGAAGTCGGAGCAAAGTTGGCGAGAATTTGAGAGGAGTAATTTTGTTTTAAGACATCTGCTCAACCTCTTGATAAAATCGTGTTTATCTTCACCCCCTGCAACAAACAAGCGGTTTCGGTTGCAGTGAAAAAAAGAGCGTTTCGACCACAGTTTTTTTCAGAAAAATATTCCCAAAAAAAAAATGGATAGATAGTAGATTTTAGTTGCAGGTGAAGCTCAAGAAATAAATAACTGTAGTTTAATCAACAAATACGACCAAGTTTTTTTTGATAACGAGATAGAAATCGAATTTAGGCCTCGCTTTTTTGTTAGCAGTAAGAAACTGGGCGTAGGCTAAGTTTTTCCAGTCAGTTTTGACTACCTCGCAGAAAGCTAGGAGGTCAAATATTTCGTGTCTGTACAAAACAGTCTAATACAAAACAGTCCTGTACATAATAGTCCGACAAATCATAGCAAAGTACAGTAAAACAGTCCCATACAAAACAGTCGCAAAAATAGTCCTAAAAAGCCCAAAAACAATCGTATTGATTGAAGTATTAATTGTTCCAGAAACTGATAAGAAAATTCTCTCGGCTTCAACACATTTTGATTCCAACTAATCCGGGTAATAGGTAGTATAGCAGCGAAAGGAGAACAACCTAGATAAAAGCAGCGGCCACTCAATGACTCTTTATTTAACCCATGCAAAAAGAGACAGGTTGCTCAAGTTTTTTCATTCGCGAACACTTGTCAACACTGAAAAGAAACGAAACTCACTTACTATCGATGGAAATCATACTAACTAACAACAATTCAGAGTTACTGATTTTTGAAGGGTATGCTTATATTAAACACCGAACACTGTCAGACAACTGCTTTCTTGGCGCTGCACACGAGGTAGTTGCAACGGACGTGTACGTACAAAAGAAGACTTCGTTGAGATCGTTAAAGATTACTGCCACTTCCCCGATCCAGGTGATTTCGAAAAACGTAAGTTCAGAAAACACTTGAAGATTGAGCAGCAGTATCTGATGTAACAATGTAACACCACGGCAGACTATTTTTGCCGCCCAACGTGATGTGGACCGAGAAACAGCTGTTCATTTACCAAGCTATTCTGCTAGCCAGCAAGCTGCAAATAGAGTTCGACGAAAAAAAAAACCAAAATGGCAGAGCCAACTTCGCTGACTGGCTTTGAATTACCACTGGCTCTCAGAAAACTGACGATGGAGAACAGTTCCTGTGCACGATTCTGGTCACAAGATGAAAATAGGGTTATTGATTTGGCACGTTACCTGGGTTAGAGGTAACGTGCCATATCATTATCACTTGATTGGTTCTGTGATGAAACGTTTTCATCTGCTACTAATGTATTCTATCACATTGATACAATACACGCCACAATACAAGGACTCTTTTGTATGGGACTGTTTTGTCTACGCACCAAACATTTTAGCTTACTAAAGTTCTTTTGATTGGGATTTATAAAAATAATTCTAAAATTTGTCTCAGTGTCGAAACAAAACTTTTCGTTTCTTTTGTTATTGAGACTAAATTATACGAATTTTGATGAGAGGCTGACCTCCCAAGTTCAGTTTTTCTACAATTTTAATGTTATTTTAACTATAATGACCGTTTAAATCATTTTGGTTGGAATATTCTGTGCTAGTTGCACGGCAACATGCTAACCTTGTTTCTCATTCGTCCTTATTTTGCAGAAAAATAAATGTTGATACTTGTTTTAGCATACCACAAGGTCGTCAAAAACCTCCATCGAAACCATTTTCAAACTCACTTGAAACCACTTTTTTTCAGAACTTTCTTGCAAAATTTCGGATCACTCAAAACTGGAAGATGTTAAAAACCCCAAGACTCAATCTAGGGCTATACGGCGGCTCAAAGAAAACACATTTTCTTGAACTTCCAGAAAATTTTTTCATATTTCCCAAAAAGCTCAAACAAAAATTTTTGAAGCGCAAACTGTCTTTCAAAAAACAGCCTGAAAGTATCTTAAAATAAACTAGGAAAGTGAATTACTCGGAAATTGAATTACTCTTAAAATTTTCTATTGCATTTTTGTCAATAATGAGCTTAAGTTTTTTTCTTGTTTGAAAGTTCAGAAAGATCATCCACAAGGAAAAAGGCCAGCATATGAGCTGTTGGACCCTTCACAGAGACTGCATATTGCACTCCTGTCCAAAAACTACTTGCAATATTTATGGCTATTTTTTTCCTACAAGCCGAAAATAAAATTTTCATTCCAACAAGGCGAAAATGTTTGTTGTTATGAAACATATCAACAGGTTTTCACTGTTTTGATGCAATAGTTACGGAATTGTGATGTAATTTTGGCTTCAAGCAATGGCGGTTTGTAGCGTTTGATGTGGTTTAGGCCTACTTACTGCTAGACACGTTCTACAGACTGCTCTACATAGAGAGCAACAGGGCCATGATGGTCATACACCACATAGTGGGTCTGGTCATCACCCAGTTTGCCATGCACGACAGAGGCTGGCTGATGGAGAAGCTCGTCTTCTGTCTCATGGAAGTGGCCAACCCTTTTATCAACCTCCGCTTTCTCATGCTTGGAGTCGGTTAGTTACTTTTTCATCAGAGTAGTTTTAATGTTTAAAAAAATGCTTGGAATCGGTAAGTTAATTATGAAAAAGTTAGTTTAACTGAAATGAAAAATAACATGTTTCTCATGCTAGGCGTCGGTTAGTTGTTTTGTAAAAAAAATAATTAAACTTATAACTAAAAAGATCATATTTCTCATGCTCGAGTCGGTAAGTTAATTGTACAAAATTCATTTTAAATACAAAAAAATGCTTGGAGTCGGTATTAATTATCAAAAAGTTAGTTTACACTAAAAAATAACAAGTTTCTGATACTTGCAGTCTGTAAGTTAATCATACAAAAACTACAGTTTTAGCCGAAACTTACCGAGTTTTTTCAAACTCACTTGAAACCACTTTCAAGTTCTTGTAGATTTTTGGATGATAAGGATGATGAAATTAAGAATTTAGGACTTTAAAAACGTATTTCGTTCGACTGGTAAAATAGCAATAGTTTCCCAGCCAACGTTGAATGACCAAATCGTATGTCATTTTAAATTATATAATGTAATTGTTTTCAGACATAATATAAATATTACAATTGCGATGACGAATTCAGTGAAAAAATTGATCGAAATAGTTCAAGTTGAAATATTTGGAAGTTGGAAACGGGTTAAATCGTGCCGTCTGGACCAGCAGTAGTTTTTTAATGATAAAAACTCTACTTTGAACTATCAAAATGTTTTGTAAGAACTTGCAATGGAACCCTTACATGTTAAATAGCTTCATTTTAAATATAATTCAGAAAACTTGTTGCACTTTTTGCTGTTCCGTGACTGAAAATTTGCATAATGTATGGAAGGATAATAAATTAAGTGCGATATTGTTAATTTATTTGTAAAATTGTTTTAGATGTTCCCAAGACTTCAAACACTTACCTTAGCGCCTCTTTAATCATGATCATCAGTTTCTTTCTATTCCGGATCCTTCCCATTCCCTACATATACAGAGGCGGCATCTACAAACTAATTCTTTATCCCCAATACGGATCCTGGGCTCATTTTTGGATGTTCACGCTGTATGTGCTGCTTAGCTTAATGAACATTTACTGGTTCTACGTTATGTTGTTGGGTCTTCATAAAACCTTCATCAGAAAAAGCAAACCGGAAGAAGGAACTCATCGTGATTAAAAAAACTCGGACGAGCCCGAAGTCCCAAGTTCGAATCCCGAAGATGGCGATTTGGATAAAAAATGAAATTGGATAGAAAACATTATGGAAATATATTTTTGTTGAGCTGTGAATTGTTTTTAATCAACTTTGAAAAAAATTAACTAAAAAAATCAAAACTAAATATTCGTAACTTTGTGTCTTTTATACAATAACGCTCCTAAATATTCTATGAAATCCAAAATCCGGTTCAAAGTTTCTTTTCAAGGTCAGAATTTCCAATAAGCCCCATCTGGAGAAATTCTAATATTTTGGCAAGGCTTTTTTAAATGGCCCTCAAGAGCAGCTGGACCATTCTCAGCTTCGCCTCGATATACGAGCAGTCTTTTTTCCAATTAAAATATAGTTCTTTCTTCACGCTCCTGTATTGTTTTGTCCCTTCCGCTTTTCAGTTGCGGCAACGAAGCATTTTATGGCGTCATATGAGATTTCATACTAAACAGGAAAGGAATTAGGATTGCAGCGAAAGATTTGATTTTCAGTTTTATTAAATCTGCCAACAAAAAGTTTCTCAGTTTTACTAATTTTTTTATTTATTTTGAATAACCCATTTGGGTACATTTACATTCTTGAAAAAAAACTAATTCTCTTTTTGGCCATTTTTCAGGATATTGTGAACAAACATTTGCCTCTTTGAGCGTTCTCCATTCTAAATCAAAAAGGGGCTGTTAGATTTTATGCTAGACAAATCTGATGTTAGATTTGCTCAAGGTGTTTTTTAATAAAAATATATAATTGCTTGCGCTTTTTATGGGTGCGACGGGGAAAAATGTCTTGTTTGCCCTGCTCTGAATCTTTTTTGAATATATATTTATTTTTCCACTAATTAGGCTGTTTTGCCTACCTTTTTCTGTCTAGTTTTTTTTTGAAAATGCAAGTGTTTTTGGAATGCAAATTTTGCAAGATTCTCGAGAAGAGAGTTTTATCTTGCAAAAATATTAATAAGTTGACACGCTGTAATCAGGATACATAACTTTGCACAAATCCAGCAAGATATAAATTCCTCGGTAAGTATCCTCAAGGAAAAAAGTGTTATTATGCAGTCAGAAAAAGTTGGGTTATTTGTTTTTTATTTAAAAAAATGTTTGACTTGTTTAAAAAATGTTAACTGACTTAAAGTTAATGAAAGATGGAGTTGGAACAAAAGAACACTCTATTTTTATGTTTTTTAAGTTTATCTGATAACCACTTTGATTCAGACGAGTTTTTGCCACCTCAAATTGTTCTTTTTCGATCTTTTATACGCCGTTCAAATCACGACTTAAAAATTTAAAACTTGTGTTAACTGGTGTGAAAGTTTTTGTGTCGGACAATTTTTTGTCTGCGTGTTTCTGTATTCCAAAGACAAGTCTTTAAGCATGTTAAAGTTTTGTCGGAACCATCAAAAAAATGAAAGAACACAAGAAGAACAAAGGGCGCGTCCTTGTTGCGAAATCCGCTTACAATTCCTAAAGTACACAGTTTGACCTCGTAATGATGTTATTTTTGGAACCTGATCTAAATACATTTTATTATTGGATAAATTAGATATTTTACCACTGATAAGTATTTAATATTAACCAATCATAATCCATCCAACTAACAACCCACTTATTTGTAAGTGCTGAAATTACTTGTAATTTCAGCACCAGAGAGATTTGAATTTAACTTAGAAATTAGTTGCCTCTCCAAGAGAACTTCAGCTGCCGCAATAAGCCAGTATACTCTAGATCTATTGAGCCTAGCAGAGACTAGTTAAACACCCTGAGACTAGTAGATATAAGAGTAAGATTAGGATCGGTATTAGACTAAGAAGTTGCACGAATCTATCCGGCCGAAAATAAGATAGCGTGACGAGCAGACGGTGTACCCTATCCGAAATTACTCTATGAGTTACCAACCCCATATTAACTCATCTGGTGCGACCATAAGTCTCGAATAAGACCTTAATAGCTTAGAACTAACCAAAAATAGATTAGAATTTAGACAAAACATTTTCAAAGTGTTACACGATAATAACTTGATTGAAATGTCTCTACGACTCAATAGATCAGAGCCGATATTCCGCCCAATACTAGAACTACCTGGTATTGAAAAAAGACCTCGGACAAGAGACGATATACGGCTACATAGAAACTTACCATTTAGTTTCATGGTTGTAAGGCAAAAGCCAACACAAACTTTTATATTTAGAATCTTATCACCAATGAATTTAGATTTTCATTTGCAAACATAAAATTTTGAAATAAATCTTCATGATCATTTCAGGCGCTAAACAAAATTTTTAATGTACAATAACGATTGATGAAAAGATCTCAGATCGTTTTTTAAATTTCTGCAGTATTACATAAAACATATTTGAAAAATATTTATTGAAAATAAAAACAAAAATTAGTAGCATGACAATAAATTGTTAGTATCACCTAAACATAACAGCAATCATAAGCTCACTAACATCATTAAAAAACCAACCCTTTTTATTAACTAAATTGAAACCATTTAAATTTAAATTTACTTAATTTAAAAAAAATCAGATCATCAAGGCTATCCTTGGATCTTTATAAATTTTATATCTCATTAAATTTAAAATCTGATCATCAAGACCTATCCTTGGATCACAAAGAAGAATTTTGTTCTCCCCCACCCACTTAGCAGGTGTCTAACGACCTCAAACGTCGATTCACTATCCAACCTTTCCAAAAGAAACAGGACTAATAGAAATTTTTAAAATAAAACTAACCATTCAAATTAAGTTAAACAGTGAAGAACTTCGGTTATTCATTCTTCTTAACAGACCCAGGATAGATCTTAGACTTAGTAAGTTTAAAATAGTATCTAATGAACTACTTGCGTTCTAACTATACCTGAACCTTGTGGATCGATTTACTATTCTCCAACCCTTGAACACAATCACTACCCCTAAGTAGGATTAAGTAAGTTAACACCTTAACTTAGACTAGCCACGAGAAAGTAGAACATCATTCTCCGGAATCGATATACTTTTCTCTCCAACCCTGAACAAAAAGACCCAGGTTAAGCTAACCAAAAAAATTGTAAGGACTAACAGTCTAGGAAAATAAAAATCAGTAATAACTTCTTGCATCCCTCATCCTAAACCTTATGTCATTCAAAAATTTAGGAAATAAACAAACAATCGTTTTACACAATTGTGAAATAGATAACCAAAAATACGATCTTGTAATCACCCCACATACACAAACAGTTGGATACATTCGAACAAAACGACAGACAATAAAAAGAAAAATTATAAACAAACAAAGACAAATCACACGAAAAAGATTTTCAAAAAATAGAAACGCATTTTCTGAATCAGAAGCCAACAGCTTAGACGAACTATACAAATTAAAAGAATCAATAGATAAAAATTGTCCCATTCATGATCAATTATATTTTCCGACTCAGAAACAACTTCAAATTCTTCAAAAAGAGGAAAAAGAAGAATAAAAAAGCAATATAAACACAAACCAGTACACCTGTATAATTGGAATCAACCAATTAGACATATTGATAGTTATATATTAACAGTCATCAAACGAAAAAATGAGACACACTCAAAGTGACGAAAGTCCAGATGAAGAAGCAGTTTTTCCCTTTATTATCGATTCACTCGATGATAGAGGACAAACACAATTTTGTAAGAACTTACTCGTAAATTTGTTTGAACCAGGAATCAGCCCATGCAAAGCAGAATTCCCAGATATAAAAAATCAAAAGACAAATCATTGAACATTATTTGAAAGACATATGTAATCTAACACAGCAATACGGAATGTACACCATAGAATTTAGCACACCAAATACAGCCCATCGTAAATATGTAATTCAAACAGACGATATTGAATTAGAGTTTTCAAAAGTATTCATAGAATATCAAAAGTGTGCGCTCAATCTGAAAAAACTGTATAAGACAAATTAAATTATGAGTATTTTTCGGTAAACACACATAACAAGAAATAAGAAATGTCAACGGTTTGCATAATCAAGATCACAAAATCATCTTGTTTCGGTACAACTCGTTTTTGAGATAATTTCGCGCAATCTAGCCACAAGAACCGGTCGGTAATGTCCTTGAGACAAATTGCTCTTTTTGGCGGTCAGCCTTAATCAAAGCTGAACCGAATTAGAACCAAAAAACAGTTAAAATAGGATGTAACCCCCGTTTTTAGTATATTAATACATGGGCAGGTGGGGGACTCAAACCTACGTCAACTGTTAACCTATATAATCGGCGTTAGCTTAGGCCACTCGGCCAACTGTGCTTATTTTATATGCATCTATACTCGTTTTATTCTATACTCTTGTTTTGCATTGCAACATCCTCCCCCCCTGAAGAAGGAAGAACCGGAGCGAGCTTAATGGTCGGCCGCGTGACTTCACGGGTTGCGGTCCTGACAAGGGCGGATCGGGCGCAACCGTCCTGTCCGTAGTTTAGCTTGACGATTCGGGCGAGAGGGTAGTACCCACGCGGACTATCGGGCTCAATCACCCACACGAGATCGCCTGTTTTAAGAGTGAAGTCAGAATGAGTGTGCCACTTGACACGCTTATTCAGCGAGGGAACATATTCTCGAAGCCAACGAGACCAAATCGCGTTAGCATATGACTGCGCTCGCACGTACCTTTTCTTGTGATCGAAGTGCTCCCCGGGTAAAAGCGAAGGAAAGCTTGTGGCATGTTGTCCAAGCAAAAAATGGTTTGGGGTTAACGCTTCTAACTCAAGTGAATCGGTACTAGCGGGAGTGATTGGCCTTGAAGTCAAAGCCTGTTCAACTAAGCAGAGTGTTGTTCCTAACACCTCTTCAGTGACTCGCCTACTGCCTAGGATATCGTACAGCACGCGCTTCACGCTTCGGACGAGGCGTTCCCAGGAGCCGCCATGATGGGGTGCACCTGGCGGGTTAAATTTCCAAGTAACACCTTTGTGTGCAAAAATGGTCGGAGCCATGCCATTCCAGCTCTTGATGCAGGCAAGTAATTCCTTTTCCGCACCAACGAAGTTCGTGCCATTATCCGACCAGATTGTGCTTGGCGTACCACGGCGCGCAACGAACCGTTCAATGCCCATGACACACGAACTGGTGTCCAGAGACGGTACAATCTCAAGGTGTACAGCCCTGGTGGTGAGGCAAGTAAAAAGAAATCCCCATCTTTTTTCCGTGCTTCTGCGAACCGGAATGTAGAGC